CAGTTATTTTACTTTAAAGATGAGCAAAAGAAAGTATTATAGTTTATTAGCTTTTGGCATCCGACATGCCTTTCAACCACTCGTTGCCGTAAAGATAAGAATTGATAAGAATTTGCAAATAGTAAAGGATGGCAAAAGAGTTGTAATGCTTGTAAGAAAGTTCATTTCCCTTTTGTTGAACGAAAATATATTTCCTGTTATGAATCACTGCACGTTTTCAGACGGTTCAGCTGTGTAAATAGGTTTGACACCTGTCAGACATATCTGTTAATATTCTATCTTTTCATATATTTCTCAATAGTATCAGTTTTTTTCGCTTTATTTTTTACCTAATTCTCTTAAACCACGCAGTTCTGATATGCAGAACAAAATTTTTTTTGGAATCCTTATATTTCTTTATTAAGTTGCACTGAGCAAAAAGGGAAAAATCGTAAACGAAAAGACAAAATATTTATTGTGTTTATTACCATTATTTAATTAGAATCAAAATTAGTTTAAAAGTCTATTTTTATTCGGAGAATAAAAGTTTTTGAGTGTAATGATATTTGTTGGAAACACTCCCGAAAAAAAATAATAATGATAAATATATCTCCAATTATGACCTGGACACACTGAACTCCACTAATTTTCGTTTTCTCTTCTGTTATTAACAAATGAAGAATATGTATGTTTGCTCGGTAGCATTGTTGAAAGACGGCGGTACTTAGCAGAGCCGTACTTGACATCTTGTCACCCGAGGAAAAAGGCAAATGCGCGCGGATATTGGTAATCATAGTTTTATTTATTAAAAAAAGATGCGTGTTATTGTTTACATTTTTCAGTTGGAAGAGGTTAAGAAAAAAAGCCTTTCCGTAAAAAATAAAATCATCGAAAGAATACAAATAGTTGTGAAATCATGCGAAAAGCGTTGATTGTGAGCTGTGAACAGGAATTATGACCTTCATTTTTTAATCGTTTTATTATCGGTGTATGAGCTATACACATATTCAATTTAATCAAAAACAACCACTTCCTTCAGGGTGCTTCGATATTTTTTGCAAAAGAGTGTATATAGTATATACATCGTTGTGCGGCTTGCCACCGGCCGAGGGGTAACGTCGCTGAATATTGGTAGTTCGGTCCGATGTTCGAATCCTGCAAACAGGCTGGCTGCATGGGCGTTTTCGTGATTTTCCCCATAAGTAACGTATATACGAACCAGTTTCCCTAGAATGACCTCTACGAAGGCATGCATCCCCTTAAAAAACGTAAACCACGTAAAAACCAAAAAATATCTTGCTGTAGAAAGTTGTCTTTCAAATGCTATCCTACAAAGGAATAGATTTTAAAAAAATTTCCATTGATCTTCGAAAAAATTCTTTTTGAAAAAAAAAAAAAAAAAAAAAAATATATTGATCAATCCTTTTCACGACAATATGTATAGAAGGCTCGGTTGTTACATAATAAATGAAACTCATCTATTTAAGTTTAGTATCTCACTCTCTCGTTTAAGTTTCATTAATATGAACAGTTTTAAAATGTAATACCGTAGTCAAATTTTGTAGGTACGGAATCCAAATATTTTATATTTTATTTTTTATAAACGAGTATAAAATTTTTCTAAATACATCTATAGGGATTGGGAAAACAAATTAAATATTAGATTTTGAAACTTTTAAAAATTAACATTTTAAATTAAAAAATGCCAAAGTATGAATATTTGCATCATTTGAAGCATTTTTATAATGTAAAATACTGGTCTACGACCGAGGGTTGCCACGATAAAAAAAGGCATTTTATTTATCCAGTGTGTGAATTAAATCTACCGTACATACCGTACTTACTTGTACAAATACTTGGACATCTATCGTACGGACTGTACGAATTTTTCGAATAAGAAAGAGGAAAGTAATTTTTGTTTTATAAAAAATCCTATAAATTGCTATATTGTACACCGTTTAACATTAAATTCAATATAGTACGTATAATATGTAATATATACTGTATATAAGTGCATTTCCACACTTCCAGATCGAAAGCAATTTTTCAGTACGATCCAACATCTCTTATCTTTGGTAAAATTAAAAAATTCATTTACTCATGCGTGAAAGATATAATTTCTTTTGATGCATTTTTGCTTTTAATTTTATATTTTTAAAATTAACGACTAAAATAACACATGCAAAATTTTACATATTTTAAATATAGCAGGAGAATTTGAAAGTAGGGACCTAGGACTTATCCCCTTTTGCCCGCATGGGAAACAAGCCTCGTCCGTAGAAGTAATGTATGTACCAGCGTGTCCCATAAATATTGACACAAACTTAAAGAGCAGACAGGGCACATGAAAAAGGTTGAGAATTGCATAGCAATTCATGATCGAAATCGTCATGGGAAAGTGGTTTAGAACTGCGAGAAATGAAGGGATACAAGGCAGAGATTACCAGAAGCATTTACTGCTAACAAATATAGCATAATATTGTAGTAGATGATAACATTTCAAAATATTACAAATATGTTCAAAGTTTTCCCCATTACAAGAGATGCATGCGTTACACTACAGACTATGGATTGACGGACACGGTCAAAAACACCTGCATTTGCTTGGATATTTGCAGCAGGGCAGACGATTCTTGCAACTAGATCCATTTCAAACTAGACAAGTCCATAATAGGAAGGTACTCCTATTACTTCCTTGTACGAAGTAAAAAGGAAGTATTGTAATCGCGAAAAGTTTCAGGCAGCATATTTCAACGAAAATATCCATTTTGACCGCTATCGAATGCAATTTAACGATGTTTTTGCGTGATATCTGTACGTAAGGACAGGATAAAATACTCTTTTCCTCCTCAAAAAAAAAAAAAAAAAAAAAAAATTATTAAAACTGCTTTAAAATTAATTCTGAAGAGAATTTTCGTGGCGTCTGTACGAACGTATGTTTACGTACGTGCGTACGTACGTATCTGCATAACTCAAAAACGAGTAGCCTCAGAACGTTGAAATTTTGTATATAGGACTGCTATAACATGTAGATGTGCACCTCGTATTTTGGTTGCAATCGGCAGCACCAAACGTATATAAATATATTTATATATATTCCACTCTGTTAACCCGGCTCAGTGATCTCAGTTTCTTTACTCTTATATGTTTGTAAATTGTACATTTTTTGCTTTAAAAATGATTGAATTATGTTGTTTTTATCTTCCGGTTAAGGATTTTATGCCTTTAGTAAATCTGTGTGCAATATTTTTTGAATTATCAGAAATTTTAAAGTTGTTTAATTGCCGCTAAGCCTGTTTTTAATGGCGGCCATTGATGTTTACATTTGAAACAGGAGACTAGTGGATTTGTTGCCAATCTAGAGAAACTTAGCAAACGCAACAACAAAAATAATGCATTCATTTATTATTGCCAATTAAATCATGCTTAATTCTTTCTGGAATTTTTTCGAGGAAATAAGCGTTTGAGATTTACTTCGTAATTTTTAATAGAGATATTTTGAGTTTTTATGTATTTTTGCCTTCTCGCGAAGTGAGAACTGAATTAATTAAATGAGAAATACTCAATCGTCTGTGAAAAAGTTTCTTTTTTTGTTTGCTTAATTTCTTTTATACATAGTTCTAGCTTTATTATAGTATTTGAATAGAACATGTGGCAACGATTAGATAATTCTTTAAATGATATACATTTTGTGCATTCTGAGTTATAATATGAATGAAATATAATACTGTTAAGTAAACCTAGCGCCAGAGTGTCGTTATGGTAAACAAAGTGAATTTTAAAGAATGCATTTATTCTATTGTGGTTTATGCGCTCTCGACGAAGTAGGTTTAATTCAATCTGATAAGTTTAAATAAAATGCAAGATAAAATGCATATATTTAATATTCCGTACAAGGAAGTCATGTGGTGTACACATCAGATTATTATTTTTTAAAATCTGAACATATGCCCGAAAATACGATAATATTTAACGATATAGTGGTATAATAAAAAAATGTATTACTAAATGGGCTCGAGAAAATTCAGTTGTTATTTAATTGTTATTACAGCACGAAACTGAAAGCTTCTAGGTATTACAAATAAAGTGAATGTGTAATATGAGTAATACTTATACAACTTCATTATAACAAAAGAGAGCTGCAAACTGAGATTTCTATTTCAAACGGAAGGAAAAGGAAGATAATCCATGGATCAGATTAATTTCTTTTTCGTTAAAAATTGCACTGACATTTAGTAATAATGAACTTATAAATAATGACTGCATGATTAATTTTTTATATAATTAAAAAACAAGCGTAGTTAAAAAAAACTTTTATTCATATTTGCCAAAATACATTTCATGTTTTTATTATTATATACAATTATGCACAGAAAGAAAAACACGCTTTGGTCTTTGTGAAAAATTAGTTTTAAATCTCGTACTTTATGTGTTTACTTATATATATATATATGGTTAACGTCTATAGACCAATTATTAGTCCAAAGCGGCTTTGGCCCTGAAGGACTATTGTTTCGTTTTGCGGTTTTGCATTGGTTCACTGTAAATGTCCGTTTCACTTTTCGAACTGTTGCCACCAAATGTTAGAGTTATGCATTATATTTGAGTAAATTAAATAATGAAAATTCTGCATAAATGTGTGTATATTGTGATAAAACAACGCATTGTGATAAAACAACGGTACATAGAGCATCGAATTTTGAATGACTTAATCCTCCTACGAATATAGGCATGTGGAAGCCCAAATTTGAAATTTGGAATTTGTTTTATCATCCATTTCATATTTTGTAAAACTTTAACAAATTTTTGATTAACAAACTCAAGGATTTCAAAGCGAGCAATGGCAACGTTGTACAGAAAAAAACAATTTTATCTCCAGCGTGCGAGACTCTTGTATCGGAAATTCTAAAGATATGCTCAATTTAAAGCTATTTTGCGATATTGCTGTTGAACTGAATTTTATAGTTTAAATATAAAACGTGATATTCAATAAATAAATGTAACACACAAAATGTAAAAAAAAAAAAAAAAAAAAAAAAAAAAAAAAAAAAAAACTTTTAGACGTAATTTAAAATGTAAAACCTTTCAGATTTTTTAATTTTTTTTTTTTATTTCGTTTTTCATGTGTGCAAGTATTATGTCACGTTAACCTCATCGCTGTCCATTCGTTTTCACTTTCCTGCATTAATCCTTCATTTTGCTTTGTGAATTGTCAGTTCACAGTCATAAGTTCTTCCCATTTATCTTCCAAAGCTGTATCGAAGCATTGATCGTCAACAGTATAGCAGCCCAAGTGTAGTACTTGTAAAGTTAATTTAAATATAAATGTTATTTGTAAATGCTGTTCCCATACTTTTCCGTAGAAAAGAGTTTGATTAATATTTATTTTATCAGTACTACTATTAATGCTGTTCTTAAAATGGCATATTATGTAACTCGGGTTTCTTAAACACTTTAGATACGAATTCGAAACCGCAGAAAAGAGAAAATCCGGAAGTGATGATGCTATGTTTACTCAAAATCTCCAAAATGTTTTTGAACTGAAATTAAGTAATGAGATAGCCGGGTATATAATTACGTAGCTGAATAGTTAGGTTTGAATGAACTAGTTTTCAAACTTTACTTAGATTTAGATTTTTACTTTTTTAATAAAATGGTTTCTCGCTCCGAATTAAATCATTAGTTACTTCTAAAGCAGGCATATAAATCTGTTATTGATTTTTTTAAATCCTCTAAATGATTCACTTTTTTAATTCGAAAATAAGTACAGTGGAACTTCGGTTATACTCCATTAATCTGTTCCAGGCTCTTGGACATCTACCGTACGGACTGTACGAATTTTTCGAATAAAAAATAGAGGGAAAGTAATTAATCTGTTTTTATAAAAAAATCCTATAAATTGCTATTATTGTAACACTGTTTAACATTAAAATTCAAATATAGTACGTATAATATGTAATATATACTGTATATAAGTGCATTTCCACACTTCCAGATCGAAAGCAATTTTTCAGTACGATCCAACATCTCTTATCTTTGGTAATCGATTTCCCCTCTTTCTCGACGTTAGCTCGTCTTTGTTTTCCATAATCGTCGACAACCATTGTACTCGGCATAACATACGCAGTAGCCAAGCCCCAGATATGCATGCTATCTTCATACTTTTCACCAATGTTTTTTTCACATCCATGGCGATCCTAATAATTTTCTTCGTTGCTTAACTCTTCTCATTGAGTTTCTTAAAACTCATTGTTAATTAATTTAAAAAATATTAACGTGATAAGACACAAAAATCAGTTGAAAATAGAGAGTTATAATGGGAGGGGGGCTTTTTAGTGAATAATTGCAACAGGCCTACTGACGCTCATGGGCAAATGTAGCATTGTTTCGAAAGAGCCAAGAAAATGCAGGACCCGCAGTCGTGACTCATCGAACTTGTGTCGTATAGCAAACAGATATTTTCGTATCCAAACAGGATGTGTAGAAGTTGCACATATTTCAAAGCGGACGTATACGGAGGTACCCCTGCATTTATCTTTAAAATATTCGTATTTACCAATATCCTTTACTAATCGACATCCATATAAACATCGTTAGAACTCAGCACAAAATTATTTTAGTATAATCAAACAAACGCGAATTCTTATTCTTATTGTAAGGAATATTGTGGTTCAATACTTTTACAAAAGAGTTTTCAAAATAATGTGCCTGTACCGATATACTTTATTATTCGTCGAAGTTTCGAAATGGTCATCCTGAAAGAAAAGATGAAATGACTGTTGGGATTACAAATAAACGTGTGATAATGACTCTTGATATTTTATAGAGACATTTTACATAATGCAAGGATGACCGAGGAGAAATATTCTTATATTTATATGGTAAAAAGTGACTTCGATCATATTATGAAGACAGCTTTCTTCTAAATTTAAGCTGTTTGTCAAGTGAGAAAAGGGAGGTTCGTTTTCATTCTGACTTTTGATTACAGGACTGTACGAGTAAGTTTCTTTTTCATGTTCATGCTTCTTTCACTGCAACGATATTAATTACAGCCACTGTTTAAAGGCATGACGCTTTGACAAGTTTTTGTTCAAATGTCCATACTGGATTCAGATGATGCATTGTACTAGAGCATGGCTTTTCTCTGATGACAATTTTCTTCACGTGAGTGATGCAAGCATGTTCGAAATAGCGATTATTGGATTGGACCAACACACTGCTTTTCTTTGCGGACAGGAGAAATGACTGACGCACTTAGCAAAAATACGATCGCATTCACACAGTTGGAAGGCACATCGGTTGTAAGCTTCACTGGCATAGTTTCCACCCTCTGCAAGAAATAAAAAAGTTGCAGTATGAAAACTATAGGTTACAGTTTAACATTTCTAGAAGTTGAAGATTAAAGTTTAAAAAAATTAAAATATTTAGAAATTAAAAAATATAAAAATTATAAAATAAAGGAAATGCAATCTGGTGTTTATATGAGGATTTCCAAATATTACTTAAAACAATTTTAAGCTAAACATTTGGTATAGGCCTGCTAATTTGCAAATTAATCCTCTAGAATTATAAGTAGTAGAACACTAAATTCATATATTTAAAATATGCTGCGCAAAGTAGCAATGCCAAATGGTGGAGGGAGAACTGCTTGCTCCGTTATTATGTCTTATAGAAAAGGATTTGTGTATCCCCATGCGGAGATTTTTGCATTAAGAAATCCTAATTATTCAAGGTGTATTTGCTGTTTTTTTTCCAATGATCGCTTGCTCACAATTTAACTAGCTTTGTCTTCAAGAGAGATGCCTAGAAACGAATGCAAGAAAAGAAGCTCGAAAACTAATTATTAGGTTTGGCGTTAATTTATGTGTTAAACATAACCTCATAAGTTCTAAAGTAGTTTATCAAAATTTTTAACTAACACAAATTCTGAAAAACCAAACCATTATTGAATGCGACAATTATAGCACATTTCAATGAATCACAGTCGAGAAAGGAAGTCCAATACTAATGCTTAATATTACTCTAGTGAATTTGTTTCATATGGACAAATGCGCCAATCATTTAAAGTCGTACGCACCTAAAAATGACCAAAACGTTTAAAGGTACAAATCTGTACGGACATGAATCCTGACTACTACTTCTCGAGCACCTTTAATGCAGTCACTAATTACTAAATTATAAACTATACCTTGATAAAATGTATTTTCTTTTATACGATGATTATTGGAACATAGAAAATAAAAATAAATCATACGATCATCTGTTCCTTCTGGACAATTATTCTCACAGGGAATATAAGACAGAAGATGATTTTGCTAATGAGAAGTTTGCCACTTTAATAGAAATGTACATCATCTTTGATCCCGCTACAGCTAATTTAAAAATAATTTTATTTATTTTTCACTTTTAGATAAGCTGGCAACAGAAATAGGAATAAAGGGTTTAGATGTTTGTCTTATTTTGATTTTATCTGTTCCTAGATATCCGTGTTGTAAAACAGAGATAATTATCGGCTTTCTAGGAATATCCCCTCAAAAAAAGAAAGAGTAGAAGGTGAAAAATGTGGAAGGAGAAAGCAGTTCGTTAATCTGGTCGCATCAATCATTCTAACTGTAAATGAAAGGAGATCTCCAAAAGTGGAAATTGTGAGGAAGATAAGAGTAAGGATTAGAAAGTTCATCTGCAGAATAGGAAATTCTGTGATAAAAAACAACGTTAATTCTCAATATAAGATTGGATATTCTTAACACTAGCTATTTGACAAGAGAACATGTACAATCCCGAGGTTATTTCATAGAATAGAAGTTATTGAAGAGCAGCCTATATTTAGCAAGCATGGGACGCATCCTAAAAATTCGCGAATCTTTAACGTATAAAAATATTGCAAAAATACTTAATAATTTTAATAAAAATGTCATTTGAAATCTGCATTAAATTAAAAGCAAGTTTAGAATACAATTTTAAAAATAGAGACGCATTTATTACGAAGATAGAAGTAAAATTTAGCAAATAACTTTAATTATATAATTTAATTTTATATTACATCAATTTATTAGTCCTATAATATTTCAATTACTATTATTGAAATATTAATGTAAAATTTTATTAGTTAGCAATATTTAAAATGTTTGAAACTTGAGATACATTTTCTTAGTATAATTTGATAAGAAAGTATTTGATTAACAGTTCGGAGTTTGACACTTTCCTCGAAGCTTTTTATATTAGTGGATACGCAAACAGAAAAGGATTATTTTAAAAGTTAACATAGCTAAATGCTTAATATGAAATGCTAAGTTTTCATTTTCTAATAAGAAAATTTACGAAAATCCCAAGCGGTTTTATTTTAAGAGTTCATAAATGAACTCAACACTTTCAGGACATCTTTAAAAAAACTCTAATGGAGATTTTTTATTTAAGAAAATCAACCTTCAAATTTAAAATTTATCACCTCTTCCTTTCTACCGGGGATATGGGTGAGTAGTTCTACCTGAGATTGGTACCGATGGTAGTCTGTGATTAACAATGCTTGAGAGAGTTTCCTCAAATTTTGTTGACTTTCCAGTATTTAAAGAAATTCTCAAATCATAGCAGCGCTTTTTTCCTCTTCAGAAAGTAAACTGCAAAAATTTGCTCACTGCTGGTAGTTGGTATTATCAACTGAGAATAATAACTGTGCTTGCTATGATCTTAATTATATTCCTTTAGTGATATTTGAGTGGCATTTCCTGTTCTCTAATCCCGGCAGATTACTGACATTTGTTAATAATGACTGAATCTTTCAACTGATAGAAAAATAGAACCATATGCACGAAACGGCGTTTATATACCATGATATGAGTTGCCTTTGAACATCCAAGACGTACTAGTAGTAGATTAGCTTTCCACAGCACATATTACTAGAAAATTTAAGCAGATAAGTAGCGGATTTATGATGTAGATATATGAAGTTTACGTAAGGATTACTTTAATTTCTGTTTTGAAAAATAAGCTACATTTTTTAAAAAAGGCAACAGATACAATAACCAAAAATTAGCGTAAATTTGATGAAGACAACAGTTTGATTAGAAAAAATGCATTGTAAACAAATAATTTGGAACCAAATTTTCATAAATTTTAGCTTTAGATTACCAATCCCAGTTCCTTTTTTCTGTAATATGTTTTTGAAAAATGACATACATAAGTAAAATGCAGTAATAAATATTTGAATTTAGTTATTTTTAGACTTGTGTCAGTTGCTAGACATAAGTTTCCAGTACAGGATCTATAAAACCATGCGCATCATTTACAAGAACAAGAACTCTGGTTTAGTATATAACAAAACCAAGCTTTTAGACAGACTGTAGAAACTTTGTCTTAATCCTGTAAGTATATTTTTTGAAAGAAGGTCCATCATGTGGCTAATGATAAGTCATTAGTGTCTGCCACAAGTTTCATTTAAGAAGGATAGGAAGTGCATCCTTACTACATTGAGCGTAACCAGGCCTCCTGCATAGCCAAGCGTATCGAAGTACGTAGAGCATGAAAGGCGGACAACTCAAGCGAGCATAGCACCAGTCGTGGCTTAAGCAGCAACTAAAATGAAAAGAGAATTTATAGTAATTCTGCGAATATAAATATCATACACAAAGAATTAAAATTATATATTTTAAGAACATATTTCCTTAAAGAACCAAATATGCATACTATTTATGAATGACAGTGAAAAATATGACTTTCATGCATTGTTGTTCTACTTAGAATTACCATAAATTAAATAACTGGATTATTTATGATTTACGTAATTTATATTAAAATTGAAGTACACCTTAGAAGAAACCAGAATATATGCAGCAGGAGTATTATTCATAATTTCACTTACACCGAAAGCAAATATCTAACTTTATTATTTAATTTAAAAGTATTGTAATATGTATAATTAGAGAGTTAATTGCAATTGAAATAATTACTTAGATTATTGTAATTTGAATTATTATGTAATAAATGTAATAAGTCATTTAATTAAATCATAATTATAGTTTATAATTTAAATAATTAGAATTATAATTTTTTTAAAAGGTAAAAGTAATCCCACGCTTAAACCAATAGCATAGTAATTTCAGCTTTAATTTTTTTCATTGAAATATTCATGATTAGTGGTACATGAGTAAGTTTGATTTTTTTATTTGGTCTCAAGATGAAATGAAAACTTCTCACTGGTATTCGAGAGACAGGTAATTCTTGCCTACTTTCTCAAGAAAACCATGAAAATCTGAATTTATTTATTAAGTATTTCAATTCATTCAAAGCCCAATAGTTGAACAGTCTGACTGCATGCAAAATTTGTTTTATTTCCCATGTATAAAATTAACACGAATATAGTTAACTTTAAAAAGTCTTCTAAAAGAAGTATCTAGTGTATGGCAGACAGTCTTGAAATGTATAATCCTGCTAAGTTATACATTTAACCTAATTTTGCTCAGGATCAAATAATTCTAATCGTTTTTCTCATAAATTCACGAAGCTTTTTCACTTTAAATTGAAACTAAAGCTAAAATTTACCAATAACTAAAATTTAATTTATAACACAGGGTGTTTATAAAGTCTCGGACCCATTTTGATGTTTTATAACTCACAAAATAATAAAGATAGATTAAAATTAATAACATAAATGGTTGGATAGACTCAAAAAGTTTCATGACCCTTGTCAATAAACTTCCCCTTCGTCGCGCGGAGAATATCAAGTCGATATTCAATTTCACACCAGGTACCGGCAAGCATGTCGCCATCCACTGAGGCTATTGCTGTTGTAATTCTGGCTTTTAGGTCATCAATGTTCGACACTCTTATCCTGTAAACGTTATCCTTTACAAATCCCCAAAGGAAAACGTCCAGCGGCGTTATATCAGGTGATCTGGGTGGCCAGGGAATTGGACCTCCTCGCCCAATCCATCTTCCTGTAAAATGGTCATTCAAAGAACTACGAACGATGGTACCCCAATGAAGGTGGTGCACCATCTTGTTGCAAAAAGACATATGGCTGAAACTCTTCTAGTTGTGGAAATACGAAGTTTTCCAACATGTGTAAGTATACGACTGACGAGATCGTTTTTTCTGTAAAAAAGAAAGGCCCAATGAATCGGTCGTGCATTAATCCACACCACACATTAACCTTTGGGGAATCCCTTTGTGCCTCCGGTATTCATGGGGGGTTTTCAGATCCCCATATGCGCACATTATGGCGATTAACAATGCCAGAAAGATGCCAAAAACAAAAGAGAGAAAAATGCAATTAATAAGCAGACGATATTTAGAAAAGTACAGATATTTAGACTGGAAAATGAAATTATCTGAAATTAACCACACGCGCAGACGATATTTACAAAAGTAAAGATATTCAAACCTGAAAAGGAAAATATATAAGTTATTCCATCAATAAATGCCATAAGTTTGTTTATATCTTCATTATTTTATGAGTTATTAAACATCAAAATGGGTCCGGGACTTTATAAACACCCTGTATTTTTCTACTAAATGTTAATTATTAACTTTTTAAAATATCGAGGGAATTTAAGTATTCTTATAATTTATCTTGAAAAAGTTTACCATTAATAGAGAGAGAGCATGACTTCGGAAATACCAGCTTAACACAAATTCTGCACTATTACTGTGAATATGTTTAAAAACGCTGGAGCGTGGTATTTAGAAATGAAGTATGAAAATGGGATTTAAATTTTTAAGCAACATTCATAGTATTCAAGATTTTCCATTTAGGACAAGAATCGGTGGTATGTTTAGAAGCATACAGAAAGAAACCCGAATTTATACTAATAGCTCTAGTTAAATAGAACATTCTTTCGTCGGCATGGTGATTACCGAAGGTAAGTTCATGTTGACAGATTCGAGTTCGAATTTAGGGTTATCGGTAAACATATGCTAGTGCAGGAGTTTTGTTGTTTGAAGCTATTAAGAAACCCTTAATCTTCTATGGTCTCGAGAAATTAGTGGTGATGGAATGGTGAGACTTTAGGATTGGAGAGGATGGTAAGGTTTATTTTCACGAATATTCACGGAAGTATTTTTCACGAATTATATTCACGGTCTGTGATCAATGACAGTTACAAATGTTCCAATAATGACTATTCATCATTGCCTGTTCATATGGTTTAATGAGAACTCGTTGGATAAGCAACAGCAATAATTAGAAGAAATATACTATTGCCATATCATTGTATATCGTTACAGAGCTGAAAAAGAGTTTATTAGTTGCCTTTCGAAGAAGATAAGAAAGTATATCATAAGTAACGGTTGAAATGAAATTAATAGAGCAAAGATCCTTTAAATGGACACAAAGCCATTATCTATGAATACTATTTAAATTCGACTTAAATGGAAATGTGGCCGTCTGCTTATTTCAGTAATAATGGTTTCAGCTTCAGTGACTTTCGCATCTAAAAACTGAATCACTAAATTCCTTTCACAGGCAGCGAAATCGGTTGACAAATTTTTACTGAAAGTTATAATATAATCTGACTTTCTAGTATTCCACAGAATTAACAATTCCATTAGTATATTAGCCTAAACTGTCTTCCAGAATATAGTGAGTTAACTAGTTGTTAAATTTAAAATGACCCTTCCATTATTGTGAGATGATATGCCCAGAATATCATAAAAATAAACCTGTTATGTTGTGATTTATATCACTTGTCTGAGAGTAGCATAATAATTATCCCACGAAATTTATCGTGGCATGGAGTGCAAAACTGCAGCTGTAGTTGGCAAGAGCCTTGAGCGCAATACAGGTGATATTACACCTTTGCTCAGTTCCGTCCCCAGTTCTGATTGACAGCACCCCCCCCCGGGGAGGCGGAATAATAAACCTAATAAACATCCTAAAATTAAAAGTAGAAGCTATCAAATCGGCAGCTCAGCCATTAATTACAAGAGTAAAAAGTTTTGAAAATGCTGTATTTTTCAAACTTTACGGCAGCAGCTCAAGTAATTTCTTTACAATGATATGTAGATTCAAACTGATTTTAAGAAGTAATACTCTGTTTTGAAATTCTTAAAACTAGACACAAGACAACTGATCTTTTGTTAGTGCTTTCCTCCAATGGTTTGTTTAGTAATTAGGTAGCTGATTTTTTAACAAAAAGAGAGAAGGAAATAATGTAATATCATTTTCGACTATAGCGAGACTTACTGTGTAAGAATGATGGAACTAAATTAAATCAAAAAATTAAAAAAAAAAAAAAAAAAAAAAAAAAAAATCTGAAATCTTTCAGATTTTCTGTTACGCCTAAAGGGGCGTTTTTTTTTTCCCTTCATTAACACACACATAGACGTTTCGTGAGTATTTGGGATAATATCCCTTTGGGCTAAAATGTATTTTAAACCAGTATATCTGTAGAATTTCCGGTAGACAATCTCGCGCTCTGGAGATAATTTTTTTTTTTTTTTTTTTTTTTTTTTTTGCATACAGTGTTCATATCGCTCGCTTTATCCCTGAGTTTGTTAATAAAAAATTCGTTAAAGTTTTAAAAAATAGGAAATAGATAGTAAACCAAATTCGAAATTCCTGATTCGGGTTTCCAAGTGCACAGTTTTGGGTTCACTACGTTATTCAATATCTGATGGCTCTAGGTATTGTTGGCGTTTCACAGTGCGGGAAACATATATAACAATCATGCAGCTTCCTTATTATTTAATTCTTTTAAATATAATACAGGACGATAATATTTGGTTGCAACGATTTGAAAAGTGAAACGGACATTTACAGTAAACCGACGTACATGCCGTTTCGAAATTTATAGCCCTTCTGGGATAAAGCCCTTTTGGGTTAAAAACTGGAGACTATGAAATTCCTGTAGTTTCCCAAAAGGATACAGCTTTCCTTTTAAAAAGCGTAAATGAATGTTTAGTAAGTTACACATATTTGGATATCTTTCTAGTCAAAACTGTATAACGCGTAATGCCAATGCTAAGGATATCAAAAACATTGAAACCTATCTATCTTTAGCGGGAAATAATTTTGAAATATAATGGTGTACCAGACAGACTCAGACTGTACAGACATGTTTTTTTAAACTACTTCTAATTTTAAATTGAATGTTTTAAAGACTTTTCAATGTTTTTGTTGCTGTCAGCATTTTTTTAAATTTTTCTAAAATTTTGTGTGTTTCTAATTATTTTTTAATGTTTGTAATTCTGTTTATTTGTTTCTGCACTCGAGTAAATGATACTAGATTAACAACGTATGCAGGAAAAAAAAACGTTACAGTGTCATTAATATAATTGTAACTGAGCCTTTCATTGGCTGCTTAAAAGTGCATGAATGAGGCTGTTGTTTCTTCTTAAATTTTAGAGGTTACTGAATTGATTTTAAAATCAAATTTAAAATTACTTGCAGGATTTCCGTTACTACATCACATTTCCCAGATACGACTGTTGTTTTTCCATTTTTCAATGATGCCGATTTTGGGATTATATTTCTACTCCAGGGCACACCTTGATATCTTTGTTGTTCCCATGGTACACCTGGCGATTGTTTTGTCATGAGGAAAGAAAATTTTAACTGATATTAATATATCTAGAGAAATACCGCCCATTGTCAGAAATCAGTAATCTTATTTTATTGTAATGATTTAAATCTATTTTAATTCACTGGCATTATTAAAAATAATTATTTGTGTCATTATTCAAATGAAATGCATTCTTATGATTTAAGTGAAGAAACATAGCATAAATAAGATAAAAAATTAGCAATGCATTCCTTGACTCTTCCCGATTTCATTATGTTTATCATAAGTAAGATTCACTCCTTTGAGCAAAATATTCTGTTTAAAGTATACAATAAATTTTGCTTGTATTATACCTATCCAATATTTTCTGTCATTTTAATTTTGAGAAAGTTTTGACTTAAATTATATTTTAATTGTAATATACTTATTATTAGATATACAAAAGCTGACTAGAAGATACAACTGAATTTTATTCCAGAAATTCTAGAACATCATAATTTCCTCAAGTGAAAAATAAAAAAAAAAATTCATTATGGCCAAAGGAAAACTTCTAATCATTGGAAACAGAGACGAGTCTGAGGAGAGGGAGATCGAGGACACAGATAAAATAATCGAAATTAAATCTCTGGTAGTGACGTTCGTGGGGGTGAGGGCCAGTTCATGGTGAAATCATGTGACCGATTTTGGAATTCAGCTTATCCTATTTCAAGCATGCAATCAAAACGTGATAAGAAGTTTAGAGGTCTGGAATATTTTGCTTCCGTGATGAAGTTGCTTCAGGGCCATGCGCTTTTAGAATGATTAGAAATTGCAGAATAAGCAGTGAGGGAATATAAGATTGTATAGCTGCAAAGATACTGAAATCCCTCTTCCGAAATAAAGGCCACGTTTTTTTTGTAGTCTTTTGTAAGAAAATAATGACATTTACAATTTATAAGTCGATAAGTCCGATGATTAGAGAGCCAAACATTTATTGATTGAACGCTGGGCGTTAAAAGGCGATCAGATAACTCGCGAATAGGGAAAAAAAACATTTTCATCGAAAACGGCAAACATGATATAGGAGAAAGACGCTCGAAAAACATGGTTAGCAGAAAGAAATAAAAATTACTTGTTGGAATTTTTTCACCCAGAATATTTGTAGCGTTTTATGTTTACTAACAAGTTATTTTATTATTTTTGCCCTCTTCTGTGTGGAGTTACTGTACTGAGTGGTTAAGGTAGGACGATTAGTCTCACTGTCTTCGCAGATCCAGAGATTAGCATTTTCAGTTGTCAGGTTTCGCACTTATTTCAGTAAAAGGTATTCATTACAGCGATGATTCATTTATGGTACCTTCTAAATTTTCTAATGTATATACCGTATTTATGCGAATCTAATGCGCCATCGAATCTAATGCGCATCCCCATTTTAAAACTTTAAATAATAAAAAAAAAACTGTTTGTCGGCGAATGTAATGCGCATCAATGATATGAGGAATTTATTGAATCTTATTTTATACAACAATGGATTTGTATATAAACTATCAATTAATGGTATGATAATTTTATTTAAATTTAGATACCATATTTTATACAAACAATGGATTTATACATAAAGCAGTAGAACATAGAATTAACCTATTAGTGGGCAATTGTTATGTGAAACAAACACTGTTAATTACCACTACCGTATATACGGTATCTATCGTAAATATGAACATGAAAAATAAAATCGTAACATTTCTATCTAGCTAACAGTTTCTACAATTAGTGATTAATAGTAAACGTCTTTATTCACTGTTTTCATCACTGGAATCCTCGCAGCTCTTTTCGTCAGACGCAGATTCATTTCTTCTTTCCTCCTCATCATCATCAGCATCGTCATCCTCGGCGTTCTAGAGCTCGTCATCTTCACTGCCATTCAATGAATTTGAAATGCAGCATTTCTTGAAAGATTTCACAATCTTTGGTGCTTCGATGCTTTTCCAGGCAGCAGAAACTCAGTGCAACAATGTGCGGTGCAGCACGCTTAATTTTACCTGTCGGGGTCAATTCACGGTCATCGGCGAACTTTGCACTCGAATCTAATGCGCACCCCAATTTTGAATACTACATTTGGCCAAAAACGATGCGCATTAGATTCGCGTAAATACGGTATTAATAATTTCTTATCGGTTTTCAAAATGAACGATTTGTGTAAATTTGCAAATTGTCCAAGTCCTCGGGCATTTTACATGTGACAGAACAAGTTTGCCTATCCCCGTCTTAAGCTTTAGGAAGAACTCCTGTGGGATGGATCCGAAAGCTCTTCCCCTTCTTCAGCTTCCCAAAAGGACTTTCAGTAAAACATTATTTTAAATTCTTTCGAGGTGCAATGTCACTACACACGTATAAACATCCTTGCTTTTCCCGGGTTTCGAATCTGGTCCAAGGGTTATGATAGCAGATCTCGTACCACCAAGATAAGACGGCGGCTGGTCGCAGAGATATAATCTATGTATACTTTTAACGAACGTACACTGAACTTTATTATTTAAGACTGGAATTAATATCGACAGTTATAACACTTATTCTAAAGCTAATTTCGAAAACTCACCTGTCTATAACGTCCACTGGTTTTCCGGCGCCTTTGAAGCCACAGAAACAACCGTATCTTTTGTACCGCAGAGGATCACAGCCAGTCTGACAGCGAATCATGTGTCCAAGTTGGAAAACGCTCCGTGTTTCTTCCGATTCTGATAAGTATCGCATGTTTGGCCAACTCGAATTCCAGCCTAAAATATAATATTATGTCAATTTAAATCTATTTAAATAATTAACGGTTTTCATTATGCGTTGAAATATTCTCAGGATGTTAGACGACCAGTTGCGATTAATATTCCCTTTCTCTACAGTCATCTAATTCCCAGTAAGTTTGTAAAAACTGGTCCTCTTCTATACAATTTCTAAATATTGTTTAAAAAACTGTTGAAATTTTTTTCGGTCACATGTACCTGAATAAAAGTGCTTATAACTAAATATACATTAATATAATCCAACAGTCAAGGAAATACTTTTTCCAGTAAAAGATTTCGACATGAATCTGTTTAGTGTGTCTGACACACGAGCTTCAGTTTGCATCCTTTTTTAAATAGATCGTCGTAGAATTCGAATCAGATATACACTCGTTTAAAAGAGTGAAGCACCAAACGGAAACTGCAGATAACTCAAAAAATATGGACGAAACTTAAAACTATTTATCATATGTATTATAACTTAAAACACAAAATAATATTACTGTCATTTTACGATCTAGAAAGGAAGATAAAATTTTCAAAATTCGCACAAACAAATTAAATATATAAAATCTTCTCAACGATGAGTATGGTCACACAGAATTGTAATATAGGCCTGACAGTGATGTCTCATGCTATGCATGATGTTGTAAATAAGCTGCATGGGTAACAATACCCATTGATAAAGTAATGCTGTTCTAATCCCATCTAGGGTTTAGGGAGGGGATTGAAAATCAGCAACACGCTTACGAGAGTATTCTGCCTTCTCTTTTATACTATAGTTCCTTCTTCAAGGAACTATAGTCTGGAGGACGATTGGAGTATGAAGATATCGCGAACTGTGGAAGAATACGGGCGAACAGTATGATCCAGTATGTTGTCCCTGTACCTGTGAGAATTTGGAGTTTCATGTAGCAACACATACAAGTCTGTGCTCCCACCTGAGGATACTCTTCTCCATACAAGAACATTACCTATTGCATAAGTTTCCCTTTCCCGTTTGTTAGACGGAATCTAAAGTGTTTGCTTCTCTCCATAAGTAAACACATAGAGAATCACTCTGTAAAGCAAAGTGGGACTCATCAGTGAACAGAACAGACCTCCACAGATTTTAGTTCCGCTTATTTAACTACATGCCCAATTCAAACACTCCCTCCAGTGGCTTTAGGTAAGCAGGAAACGCACTGACGGTGGCTTAGTTACACAAACTTTTTTCATGCAGTTTGCTTACTGTCGTTGCTTATACTGTCCTTCCTGCAGCAGAAATAAGTGCGAACCTAAGCTGAGATGGAATTTCAGCCCTATTGGAACGTGCACTAAGTTTCTAATAAGGTTATCTGCAGAAACGTAATTGTTGGCCTACATTTGGTAAGTCTTCGAGAGGCTGAACCAATGGCTAGAAACTGGTTGCACAATAGACTTACCCTAGAGCAGTCCACATTTAGACATTTGCAACGCCAGACTGTTGTCGACTAGTTTGTTATCGACCTACTTCTTTCTAACGTAGTTCTGCTGCCAAATATCGCCTCGAGCTCATTTTTACTCTTTGGCTACCTGCCTTTCGTTGAACAGCGATTTCCGATAAACATAATCTGTATCGTATTTACACAAAGCGATGGTAACGCCACTCTTTTGCATAATGCTACTTGATGAAGCCTGCTTTTATTTTATCCAAATTTCAAGAATTTCGCTTTTAGGCGATTTATCGCAATTTTTCAATTTGTTGCTTAGCTTTTGAAAACCATTGTATAATATTTCGAAAATGTAGAAGCATTGCCAGATACATTTTGGCCTAATATGGAGAAACAGTCCGCCTGTTTCATGCTTATAGTATTGCAAATTAGCATTAGTTTTATTTTTGAAACATGATTATAATTTGAAACAGACGTCACTGAAATAGATTGCCTTACGTTTTTTAAACAGTCAGATTTTTAATTTTCAAAATTACAGTATGAGTGAATTAATTTCGAAAAGTTTGTGCTAATCGTCAAATTTTCTGTGATTTAGTGAAGTAGTGATATTACTTTTAGAATAAGTGTTACGAATCGGAAGAGTAAAAAGGATAACACACCTTAAATGTTATCAAACTCTACCACGAATATGTTCAGCTGTTATTTATGCTCGAGGAAAAAAGTACCCGATGATCCAGTTCGTTTCTAATGAATTATCTAAATGGTTGATGCCTTAATGTATCTATGTTTATTGAACCTAACAAGCATTATCTTCTTACAATCAGCTAAAATAATATTTTAATTAGTTCAAAAAGCCTTAATAAGCTGACATGTTTTTGTAATAAATGTGTTTTGTCTGCAGGCTCGCGGTAATCTGTGTTTACTACACTTGTTTTTATATTCTTTCCGTAAAATATACTAATAAATTAAAAGCAAAAGAAAATTTCTGAGGCTATTTTTCCTATTATTACTATAGTCTTCACACAAATGAAAAGCTCGTTTCATTATTTTAAAGATCACGGAAACCTTTTTCTATTTTTGTACTCCTCTTAAAATCAGTTTTCGACTATAATCAAGGAAAAAATGGTTATCAGAACAGAATGTTTTTTCGAATCTGGAAAAGAATATTTCAGCTTATCACAGTAAAACTTTATTGCAAATATACTTTCGTGAATGCAGAATAAGAATTGTGAAGAAATGCCTGTGTTATATATATATTTATGTTCATTAATAAGCATGTTAATTCAGAAAATGCAAAATTTTCGTTAATTTGCTGCAAAGAACTCTTTCTATTCAAAACTATTTTATCGTTTTAAAAATGATTTGAATACCTACTTAGAATTCTTAAAATTGTTGCAGCTATTTAATATGTCTGAACATTAACATTCGACATTCACCGTCACAAAATTTGGCCATAATTAATACTATTTGGAAAAAAAGGTCAGTCATCGGAATAAAATACATATATTCTCCGTTTCATGGAAGTTTACTTTAAACCGCTTAGCTTTTATAAAAGACCTTTATTAACAACGTTTTTGGTTATGAATGAAGTAAAAAACGATTTATGTCTTACGAAAAGAAGGTAAATAAGAAAATACTGTTAGTCTTAAGGAAAAGACATGCTTCAATTGAGATGAAAATTAAAGTTATGAACAATTTTTAGAACAATTTTTGAAGGATGTTTTGCTTGCCTATGAAACATTATTAAGAAAGAAAAAAGGCCTCAGTTTAAGTAGATGAAACATTCTAAAACAAATAAGGTCTCATGCTAAGTAAATGAAGCTTAGTAAGAATAAAAGGCTAAGCTTACGACAACTAAAAATATGCTTGTCTAAAGAATAGAGCATATTGTTTGTTTCAAGCCTTTCACATTAGCAGAATCAAATGACAAACCTTCATTTTCGTTATTGGGACATTTAGGCAGAAAAACTGTAGAAATAATGATCTAAACGAATGGTACTCAAACTTTATGACCAATGAAAATAAATTCAAACGACCCCAAAAAACGATTTCGCGACCCTAGTCAGAATTCGGCCTTTAGTTATATACCAATCAATTAAAATTTTTAAAAATTTTTATCCTTCCTATATTCACTATAAATTTTCGCCATCCAAATGGGGTCGCGACCCATAATTTGCAAACGGTACACATGGAGACCTAATTCTCTCCTGTATCATATTCCCATCTATCACTCCCACATCACTGAACTTTCGACCATTGCACTATATTTTATCATGAATGCATGGCAGAGTCAGAAAGAAGTATGTAAAACCATTGATACAAGCAAGGTTCATATGATTGGTACGCTCTCTGTTTTGAGAAAAATCAAATTATTTTTCCCCTTTGTAATTCTCATATATTCATTTACTAGAATACGCTTATATTTCGCTTAATATCATGTAAAAAACATTTGTGTGGTTAATACATCTAACTTAGAACAGCAAAATGTCTGCAGACTTATGATTTTGGCATGGAACGGTTGATATGTTATTTCTGTTCATTATCTGGGGTGAATAATTATCATATCGTTTTCGTTTTTAGTAGTATTTAAGATCTTTCGCGTTATTTGGTCCGATCCGAGAGTTTCCCTTACTTACGTTTATTTTTATTTAAGCATCTGAAATGATTAAAGTCTAAATTAACTGCAACTGCTTCTTTGCGTTAAGCAATGTCAGCTTAGCAAGCATATTTCAAAGGAATTTTCTGCTTTCATAATAAAAAAATTGTCAAATCACCTACGTGTGCAACACAATATATGCATTTAAAAATGTTCATGGAAGAACATAAGACTAAAAATTAAAATGCTCACGCAAGAAGATCGCAATTTACGAGTCTGCTCTTGCACGCTCTACTGCTCAGCATCTGTTAAGAATTTCCGATGCAGTCTTAAGTTTTGGATACATTTGTTTCAGTGTTTTTTCAGTTCATTATATCAATACTAAGTTTTCTTAGTAAGATATCTAAAAAATTTTTTATCTCTTTAATATTAAGCTTTTATGTGTTAACTTTATTTAAATATCACGTTCCTCCCACCTGTGCTACATAAAATTTTATTCAACAGCAAAATCACAAAATATTAAAAAAAAACATATCTTTAGAATTACCAATACACAGTCGTCTCAGATACACAGATAAAAAAATGTTTTATTCCGCACAGTGTTGCCATTACTCGCTTTCAAATCGTTGGGTTTGTTGATAAAAATTCATTAAAATTTTACGAAATATGAAATAAAAAGGAAAAAAAAATTGGAATTTAAAATTAGTCTTCTTGAGTTCATCATTCATATATTTAAAAATTTAAATTACTATAATAAGTTTGTAGTCAAACTGATTTTGAGAAGCTAAATATAAGTTCTTTTACATAAAAATAATAAATATTGCTCTCTTTTAATTTCCTTGCACGAAGTAAAGGAAATATTGTAATCGCGAAAAATTTCGCGTATCATATTTCAACAGAAATATCGCTTTTCATCACTTTCAAATCCACCTGAATAATGGTTTTGCATGACATCTTTACGTACGAACAGAATAAAGGACTCTTTTTTTTTT